GGTGGGGGTGGGCTGATCAGGGCCCGGGTCAGGCTGGTTGGCTGCTGCAGTGCGCATCATAGCCACTGGTCGTTCTGGTCGTTGCACCATTTGGTCACTCGGCTTTTATATATATAGATACCAAAAGCAGGAAATTGATATTGGTATAATGTGTGTATAATTCTATGTCATTTTTTCACACACATAGATTTATATAACCATCACTGCCATCAAAATACAGAACCATTATTCTATCACCACAAAGATCTGAGAGGGAGACTTTTTGCTGAATTCCTGTGTATTGTTTGAATGTACCATAGGCTTGTGACTTCATTTTTATGCATTTATTTTTAAGTTTTATGTAGTAAAATTCACTTTTTGGCTTATATTCTATACATTTTGACATAAAATGTCATATTCATATGACCATCATAATCAAGAATAGTGCCATAACCCCCCAATATTCCCTCTCACTGTCTCTTTGCAGTCAACTCTCCCTCACCCCATCTTCTGGATACTACTGAGTTGTCCTCCACTATAGTTTTCCTTTTCCAGAATGTTATATATTGGAATAATACAATATGCAGCTTTTTGAATCTGGTTTCCCTAGTTAGCATAATGCATTTGAGAGTTATCCATGTTGTTGTGTTTATCAAGAGCTCATTCCTTTTTATAGCTGGGTAGTATCCCATTTTATGGGTATTTCACAGGTTGTTTATCTACTTACCAGTTAAAGAACATTTATTTCCAGTTTTATGTATAAAGCAGCTATAAATGTTCATGTGCATGTTTTTGTGTGAACATACATTTTCATTTCTCTTGTCTGAAATTACCATAGGTCTGTATTACTTTTTACTTCATTTTAAATATATATTTTTATTGATTTCAGAGAGGAAGAGAAAGGGAGAGAGAAATAGAAACATAAATGATGAGAGAGAATCATTGATCGGCTGCCTCCTGCACTGGATATGGGCCCTGACCGGGAATCAAACCATGATCTCCTGGTTCATAGGTTGACGCTTAACCACTGAACCACGCCAGCTGGGCTGGTACCTCTTAATAATTTAAAAAATCATTGCTTTGTTTGAAATGTTAACTTCCATAGAATGTGTGAGACCCCAAAATATTAAGAAAGCCTTGCAGAGGATAAAGCTCAATACAAATGATCCCAGTTAAAAGTCATCTTTTCATAACAAACTCTAATCATCCAGAGTGGGAATAGCCCCTTTCTGCTTTGAGACTAGACAGGGGCTAGTTGGCCACATTCCTACATAGGTTTTCTTTTATTTCTTTTAAAAAAATATATTTTATTGATTTTTTACAGAGAGGAAGGGAGAGGGATAGAGAGTTAGAAACATCGATCAGCTGCCTCCTGCACACTCCTCACTGGGGATGTGCCCACAACCAAGGTACATGCCCTTGACCCGAATCGAACCTGGTACCCTTCAGTCTGCAGGCTGACGCTCTATCCACTGAGCCAAACCGGTTAGGGCCCTACATAGGTTTTCTTGTCACTCTGCAGGGAATGTGAAACAACCCTGCCATTGCCTTAAAATACGCTAGATCCTGTCCATGCACTACAAGCTGCCTCTGGCATGGGCTACTTAAGAGATAGCTGATGATTTAATCTGAAGGGGGAACATTGAGGCATTTATGGGATATATAGAGGAACAGGAGAAGTGGGGTCAGGCATGTGGTTGTTTCCCTTAAGTATTGAGGGGATAAAAGCTCTCACTTTTCTCTTGACAGTTTGATCTCTCTCCTCTCTCAACCTAAAGCTTCTCAGTACAAAGGTATGTTATCCTAAGGGTTCTCCCACCTCTTTTAGGCCATAGGACTTTATCGTCATTATAATACCACCTAACGCCTTTATCAAGATTTAGAGTTACAAAGGAATTTTATATTTTTTATTTCATTCACACAATAGCCCTGTGAAGTAGATATAATTATCCCCATTTTACAGATTAGATTAAATGACCAGTAAAACGTCTTTGGACTCTAGTTTGATACTCTCTCACCCTGCAGTCCTGACTAATCCTATATAATAAAACCCTAATATGCAAATTGACCGCATGGTGGAACGACCAGTTGCTATGATGCACACTGACCACCAGGGGGCAGACACTCAATGCAGGAGCTGCCCCCTGGTGGTCAGTGTGCTCCCACAGCGGGAGTGCCTCTCAGCCAGAAGCTGGGCTCACAACTGGCAAGCGCAGCGGCAGGTCTGGGAGCCTCTCCCACCTCCACTGCAGGTGGGTGGTAAGGAGTGAGGGGTCCCGGACTGCGAGAGCCCCGAACTGCAGACTGCAAGAGGAGTCCCGGACTGTGAGAGGGTGCAGGCCAGGCTGAGGCCCCCTCCCCCGCCTCCCCCCCCCTTCAGTGCACGAATCCGTGCACCAGGCCTCTAGTGTCAAAATAAAACCTTTCAAAAATATTAGGTCAGGAATTTAAAACCTAAATTTCTGATGATAAAGAATTACATGCTCATTGAAGATAGATTTTTAATGTAAAAAAACATAAGTATAAAGAAACTATAACACCACCAACCCGAAATATACACTGTTAATATTATAGCACACTTTAAAATTTTTCTATATAGACAGATAACTGAGAAATACACACACATACTTGTATATTTTATATTTAAATACATATTATACATATAATTCTAGTCTGCTTTTGTCACTTAATATATTAAGAGCATTTTCCATAATGTAATAACACTTATTTCATAAAGATAGTTTTTAATGAATGATACTATTACATATATATGTATAATATTGAGAGAGAAAGAGAACTGTAAGAATGATTCTATT